TCAGTTGGTTGGCACCAAAAATGCTACATGATGAATTAATAAATAAATAAATAAAACTTAAACGTGTCCTTACGAGGAGATGGAGAGAAGCAAATCACTTGCGAGTGTGTGGGTATGCTTTGAATATGAACGTGTCCTTACGAGGAGATGAAGAAAAGCAGATCACTTTCGATATTTTGCATATTCTACAACTTTCGACGTGAAAATCCAGATTCGGGCGTTTACTTCAATCCTTTTGCCAGTGGGACCTCGTCCCAGATGAAAAACATTCAGGTCTGGTTGAATTGTGAGGTGCTCACCGCCTTCCCGTTTTATATGACATTCCAGTGATGATAAATAAACAATTCATTGATAGCCGACAGGGTCTGTTCAAAGAGGTGGATGAAACCCAAAATAACAAGAAACGATGCTCAAGGGTGAAGCTGGAGTTTCAAGTTTAAGCCTTACCGCACCACTCACGAAATGCAAAAGACAAAATATGGCGGTGTATATTTTCGTGTTCTAGGCGAAGATTCGCTCTGCTTTTGAATATTTGGTGAGCGGTGTGGCGAGATCCTTTGTATTGGTATTGGTGTGGAACAAGGATCTTCGCGTTGTCGGTGTAGGCTTTTCTCTCAGCCCTGTCTTGTTCACATAGTACTGATCTGGCACCAGTACATTGGCCACAGGGGAGATCGAACGACAGATCTTCCTCCGGAGGTCACCATTTCTCATTCCGAGCATCCACTCGCCCCTTCTTTTGGGGAGAAAGGACGATAGCTCCTCGTCTGGAGTACATCATTTGTCTCTGCTATTTCGTCTTTCTCGGACATGAGTACGTTGGTCATTGGGGAGAACGGACGACAGGTCTTCTTCCGGCGGTCACCCTGAACCCGACTATTCCATTGTTTCCCCTCATTGTTATCGGACTCCCCTCAAATTCATCTTCCTCTGGCTTCTTCGGATCCTTCGATATCAGGAAGAGATGAAGGTGTCGGTGTTGATGGCCCTCTGGATTTGTTGAGCAGCCTAGTACGTCCTAAAAGGAGCGAAAGAGGTGAAAGTCGGATGAAAGCAGCGAAGTAGTTGATGGCAATCCACAAAACAAGTATCTGCTTCACGTTGGTGAGCTGCCTAGGGTTGCGTAGGTCTTGAAAGGATCAAAGGAGGTGGAAGTCGGATGATACTCGAGAAATAGTTGATGGTCCTCTACAGAACGAGTACATGCTTCACGTGGATTGTGAATCGCTGCGCTGACGTCGGAGAGGCTTGATCGCTCGTCCTTTGTCGCATTCCATGCTGTCTTTCTGCTGGTGGGGAATGTGGCGAAGTTCAATCTCGTGCCAACAATGATCGCTACCATTCTGCATGGCATGACCATATTTGTCAAAAACAAATTTTATTATGGGATTGGTCCGTCAATCTCAGCGCATTCCGTTATCCTGGCATGACAAGAAGACGACTTTTTCTGCACGTATGATTATTTGTTTGCCACATAGCATAGCCAAACAGGCAATGTGGCTTCGAAGATAGATTTTTTTCTCAGTGCGGTGATGTCTCTTGAAGATAGATTTTTTTTCAGTGCGGTGATGTCTCTTAAAGACAAATTATTTTCAGTGTGGTGAGGAGAGGGGGTCAATAAACCACCAGTACCTCGCCCAACCTGAAAAAAACGACGCGGTCGTTAACGCTGTCGCGCGCATCGGACCAGCACTACTCAAAGGTAGCGCGGGACCCTCCCAGCCGCGTCACTCAGGAGTTGGTCTAATCCTCGATGCGAATATATACATGGAGCTTCCGCAAGCTGCTCCGGCCGAGTGCGCCAGCCATACCTCTCGCGAGCCCCTACGACAGGACAGGGCCTACGCGAGGTACGACTTACCTCCACCTTACGGGAGCTGTCACCTACCTTCGGTGGGCGTATCCCCGTCGAGCTACCAGTCCACAGTGCGAAAGCTGATCAGCTGCAATCCCAGAGGTGGACCAGCCGAGGGCGTTTCTCGTTCGCTGTAGCATAGGGGGTACGAGCGGTAGTACGCCTCTATCGAACACGCACGGGAACCGACACCTTTGGGGGCTGAGGTCCCAAGCGCGACTCGTCGCCGGTCGACTAGGACGCATCCCACACGCCACGCGCACACCACTCTAAAGAACGTAAATATAAAACACACCCCTAACATACACACGGAACGACACAACATAACCAACGCGACAACGCTCCTAGTCCCTCGGTAGCTTTCCCATAACTCTCTGATGCAGAAATCGGATAGGCGTCGCGCGGAAGACTTGGTGTAAACCCGCGCGGACACAGAGCCTTCTCATATCGGTTTGCAATGCCAAAATACGCAAGTAGTCGCGAAGATGGTGTACTACGCAGTACCCATAATCATGAGGCCCTGGGTAATATACGAGGGTCACCTTCGACACTCAAGTGTCGGCTGACACGTGCCTCGAGGGGGTAATCTCTCGGCGCTGGACAACCGCCATGTGCGGTTGAAGACCACACACCCTCTTCTGCACCCTATGCAGAGTGGGTGGTACACAGGTCCATACCTGTGGTGGCAGTCGTTTCTTACGGCCATGGAGATGAGCCCCACTCTAGGCCCGGACAGGAGTCAAGGGGTTCGACTTTGACGTCTGCCACGGACTACAACGTCCAACCATAATAATCCTAAAAAGCAAATGTAGACTGCAGGCCTCCCTGCCCCGAAATCAGAAACCTGGGTACCCTCGCTTTTCTTGCGGTTGGCACCACGGCCTACGCCGATGCTGACCACTCGGGCACCTGTTCGAGTCTCTCGATCCCATAACTCCAGACAATAGGACGGCGAACCGTCGTGCGCAAGACTTTGATATAAAGCTACGCGGTTGCAGGCCTGTCCTATACCAACCAGCGATGCTGATTATATGCGATAGTCGCAGTCTCGACCTCGCGATATTGAATGGTTGAAGGAATATATCGTGGGTGGGTTACCCCTCACGATATTGAATGGCTGAAGGACATGCTGTTCAGCCCCTGCGGCATCTTTGCCCTCTGGGTTGGGTGTCTCGACGGGCAGGGCAAATAGGCTCTGCGCGAGGGAAACCTCCTTCCCTGCAGAGTCTAGGGCTTGGGGTGTTCTGGACAAGGACCTTGAACCCCGGCCCAGGACCAACGCCCGACCAAGAATTCAAAAAAAGTATACAAGCGAGAGGGAGGGGTTTTCTGCCTACCGCTCTCCTATTTAATCCTTAGCACGCTGGACCCTTTGGGCCATGCGAACTCTCAACATAGGTACACACACATATATATATATATATATATATATATATATATATATATATATACCTTATCTCAATATACCTCCTGCAGTCTAGTACAGAGAGGCTAGGTCTTCATCTTGGCCCACCGTAGCCTGGGTGATCGTGCCAGATCTACGGCCCACCGCGTCTGTTTGTTTAGCGGTAGTCCCCTCGCAGGTTGTGCCGCGATAGGCTTTCTCCTGATAAGCATTCAATCAGGACTAAAAAAAAAAGACTCGACTCGAGCCCTATCCCACGCCCCGCAGGAGCAAAACCCTCCTGGGTGGCCACACCCCTTTAAGTCTTTACCCCATTGGCGCGACGTAGGCCCGCTGTTCAGGTTACGCCGATCAACAGCCGACACTAGGGGTTGCGCCCCAGTGATGCTAAACTTTACCGTTAGCCTGGTATTCTCATAAGTGCCCCAATATTAGCACAAGTGGTTGGACGGTGTCTAACAACAATACAGGCCTACTGCGGGACTACGCAGAGGTCTGTCACACAAAAAAGGTATTTACCAGTCCTCTGTGGGACAACACAGAGATACACGGCAGCCTCTCCACATTCACAAACAAAATCACCGCCAGTTCCACAAGGCCGTGACTTCCTTACTTGATCAGAGGAAGACGCCACACATCCTAGTGGCACCTCCCAAGTAAACCCATTTGCGACTTCTCAAAAATTCTTAGCAGTGGTCAAGCAACAAATATGGTCCGTCTCGTCAGACTTTATCATTTCAACCCAGCCTGTCATGCCATTAAATCTACTAACCACCCCTTATACGAGGGAGGTCTCGCTCCATAGGTCTCTCAACCATCCCTCTCTCTCTAGGATGGACTTCCACATGACCTCTTATCAATACATCTCCCCTCTTGGAGCCTTCCACCAAGCAAAAGACTGCCTTTTCAAAAAAAAACGTCACCTTTACCATAACACAACTCAAACTTGACAGACCAACTTATGGGTCCTCCCCACAACTCAACAATATACATTTGGCATGACAAGCATCGGAGTCTCAAGGACTCACAAATCCCTTAGGATTCTTATACTTTCACAAGGACAGACTGCGCTCCCTCTCCTTATACCCGGCCCTGTTACCTGCCCGCGGGCAGATCTCACAAGTATACCGAAGAGTAGGCAGTTCACATACATTCCATTTGCAGGGTGCACAACATTCAAGATGTTTTTCATACATCTTTCACACAAAGACCATCATACATCAGGATAAAACCACACATGTGAGAGTGAGCGTGATCGTCACGTACAAAGGGTAAATTCCAACATCACTCAACTCAGACATATACTCAGGGATGCGATATCTCATCCTAAAATACCCAGGAATAATCTCGTCTCATGACCCATACAAACCAACTCATGTCACTCTGAATATAGTACATGGCCAACTGTACAAGAGAGTCCTAAAAACAACTCAGAATCCTACTGTTACTTAGTGTACACACCCTATCTTACATGATCCCAGTCTCAGTGGCCATCCTATGTTGTAGTCCCCATCTGTACACTCAACAACATAGGTTTCTACCTGCTCAAGTAATGGTAAGGCCAACAGAAAAGCATCTACCTCTACTCAGGTGAACCAGTCCCTACTCGCTCATCTCCTCCTGGTTCTGCCTATACAATTGAGCTCTACCTCCATCGGCGGATCGCTCTACTATCCTACCCTGTCTATCATACATCTTCCCACCACTTTTCGAGACCTTTCCTTCTGCCAGATCCTTCAGAAACTTGGGACACTGCAGAGCCCGGTGCTCCCCCTTCGTGCAGAAGAAACAGGTCGAGTCAAATGACTTTCTCGGCCTCTTCTTCTTTCACTGGGGCCCTGGCGATGATGGAGCCTCACTGGCCTCTCTCTCCAACTCATAACTCTGAGGCCTGTCCATGGGTTCCTCCGGTCCAGTCTCCGACTCTCGAGGACCAGGCCCTGATCGCGTCCCAACTTCCTCTGGCATATACTGAGGAGTGTCCAATCTTTGGGGCCTGCCTTCGATGATGCCTTCCATTGCCCCTCCCATCTCACTCTCGGGAGACTCCTCTATCCTGGGCTCTGGCGAAAATAACCTCGCGCCCTCCTGCATAGTGTGTACCGCCTCAAGCAGCACATCCATAGCTCCCTCTGTTAAGCCTTGGACTGGCTCGCCACTTGCTGCCGGCAGTCCCTCCTCAACTGAGGGTGACGTGGTGGGACCTGTCGTTACTGGGGGCAGTATAGCAAGTTCCGTAGGGGCTCTGAACTCGAAGGCTTCCCTCTCTGCATCCCTCTTGGCCTTCGCCTCCTCAGGTTCCAAAATGACTCTCCCCATGGGTCCTTCTTGCCGAGGATTAGCCGTGGATGGCCGCTCTGATAAGTCACGTCCTGGCTGCCTCTGCCCTCTCTGCCTGCTGCTTTCTGCCCCATCCACGTCGCTTCGACGCTGCTGCCTCAAATACTGAATAATAGCAGCCTGACTAGCCACCAAAGTTCTGAGCTCGCGGACCTCTGCCTCGACGGCCTCCAATCGTGCCTCAATACCTGTCTCTCTCAACTTCTTTCCTCTCAGATCTGCCTCCAACATCATATATATGTCAAAGGAGGTCTTGGATAGGGAGCGGATCCTCCGGTCCAAGTACTCATCTGCCTTCCTTGAGGTCCCGATTTCTGCCCTGTCTGGAGCCGTTAAACTCTTGCTGTATTGCTCCAAGGACTCTTCCCACATCTCCCTGAGTCCATACGGCCTGTAGGGCGGGGGTGGATTTGAGAGCACTCCTGCCTCTTCCAATCTCTGCCTCTCCTGCCCAATCTCCTCCCAGCGTCTCTCCACTCTGACCCTCTTCTCCTCAACCGTTTCCCCTGCGGGTACTCTCTCCTCTGTGCGGCGATCGGCCTCCTCCTTAGTAACAAGCATGACCTGCTGCGACAGTCGCAGCTCACGCATGCCCCGTACGTACCTTCAAAGTCTCGTAATGCGCCACAGCCGGTCAATAGCTTAGAAGCCCAGAACACGGCTTATTACACCAGTCCCAGCGAAGGCGCAACAAATCATGCGACTGTCAACAGCACAGCGACCTACAGCCGACACCTCAGTCGTCGTAGCAATCCCATAATCGGAGCAATCAGCATCAATGTAGCAGAAAAAAAAAATATCGGACGAACGGACCTCAGTTTAATAACTGCGGAGCCAGGCCCAGGGCACGCAAGAAGAGCACAGTCAGTAGACGGCCAAGCGGCAGTGAAACCCCATCACAATATCAAGCCGCCCGGCCTCTCCACCCGATCGAATGCTCTAGTCACAAAACGAATCCCACTTCCTGCAGGTGAAGGGCCCTCAGGCAAGTAGGTAGGCCCCCATTCCGCTGTCTGCTATGTTCCCCGTCCCTCACAGCTCAACCCCTCCTTAGCGCCTTGTCAATCTGTGACATCAGACCCTTCGGCCAGGGTCAGTAAGAGCTGGCAAGACACGTTGCCTCCTCGCGGCACGGCTATGGTGGCTTTCCTCTATGATGACTCACCTCCACGACGACGCCCCACGGGAGTAGGCTGCGACCCAATCACAGACAAGCCCTCAACTCCTACAGCCTGTTCCTCATCTTCTGCCCTTCGTGCAGGCGAGCAGCGAACCATCTCCTCGACGAATTATCCCGCCTAGCGGAGTCGGTAGCGACTTCGATAGTCAGCTGTGCTACCTCGCTTCGGCCATCAACACTTCGATAGAGGAACGCACGACCCTGTAGGTAAGCTTCTAACTTGCAGTTGTCCGCCCACTACTTATTCCAACGGGATATGCGGTAGTGAACGAACCTGTCCGCATACGCGGTTATATTCGTCCCCTCCTCCCTTTCACTCTCTATTAACTTCCTCGTCCCGGGCTTTCTTCTACTCCTAACACCGGATCTGGGTTCGCCCCACTTTCAAAGCCTTGAGTACAAACTTCCCTCGTCCAACTCCGCTCAGAGATGAACACCCCCTGTTCGTTACCTCTCTCCTTTGTCTCCGGCGCACACTATTTTCTCCCGGACTCCTAGTCCACTAGGCTAACAGTCATTCTAACCTCAAGACCAAGGTCGCCCTGTCCCAAGGACCTCTGCAATGAAACTCCCCTCACCTAAATCCAATCAGAGATGAGCATAAGTCACGTTCACCTCCTCTTCTTCTTCATTCCTCCATAACTCCTCGCGCCCTTCTTCCTGCTAACTTCTAATTTACTAACCATACCGTTAATCTAACTTCATATTCTAGCTCGCCATCCCTCAAAGCCCTTAGAACTTCTCCCACCCCTCGCCCGATTCCGTCGTGAATCGAGGGAGATCTGAACTTCTTCTACTGCCGTCTCCGCCATATCCTGCCACCTCCGCGCACATTATTTTCATCACCGCTCCTCCCCTACTAACTTTCTCCTCGATCTAACTATCTCATTCGTTTCGCCCGGGGCCAAACCCCCGGGACCACTTCTTTTCTCTCTCGACTCCGCTAAGGACTGAGAGAGTTACACCTTCCCGCCTGCGCTCAACTCAGCTGTCCCCATCTCGACTTTCGGGATGCACCTGGTGAACCAGTCCATCCGGGTTCGCCTACCTTCTTCTTACGTTCATACCCCGTCTGGCCCGTTCCCCCGCTTGGCCGCGGCTAATGCCCGTGAGATCGTCAGGTAACCACGAGCGAAGAGAGGGGCGGACGCGCCACGCATCCGGCACGTCAGAGCAGATCAGCAGCCTCAGCCCGGGTAAGCGCTCCCGCATGGCTTACGCAAGGATGGATGAATGACCGCTCGCTGCCATAGATTTATACTCCTGCAGCTCGTTAGACTGCCTCCCCGCTTGACCGGACCTGAGCAACCGGGGTTCTACCTTTGACCCCATGGCCCGGCCCCCTTCGCGGTCCGCCCCGCCGATGACTTATGCCCGTTGCCCTTGCGCAGGGACTACGCTAGTCCTCTCTGTATCACCCCGACTTTCAACGGATGCCCTGAAAACTTCCGTTGGGGCAAATACCACACAATATTGCCAAACTCAGGTGGCTTCTACGCCGACTTACTGGTGGCGACTGCGGCCTGTATATCATGCACTCATACGCAGGCCCACCATGGTCGTGCGCACGGACCCTTGGCCTGGGCTCGGCACCGGCACTAACCAAGATAAAAAATAAAATAAAAATAAATAAATTATAAGCATATATATATAAAATAACAACAATCGAAAATAATAGAAGACGTCTGGCTCACACGGGCCCGCGTTCGGATTACCCCAGCAAAATTAAGGGGGATAGTCCGGGGAGGACCCTCAATCCCTCAGCCCTTCAATGCTCCAATGCTCCTGTGCCGCCGCCTGCTGGCCTTGATCCCCATACCTGCGCCGTGATAGTTCAGTGTCGTAACCTATAAGGCTAAGCCCAAGCCTAGTACCAGCACACGCGGGGTCTCATATAAACAGGTGCGGCGCAGCCCCCAAGCCTGGGACGCAGCCCCAACCCTCATTCCTACCTCCCATTAGGCACGCCACCGCTAGGCTCCTACGTCGGCTTGCCCTCTTTGCGCCGTGGCCGCCTCGCACCCTACTCCGTACGTTAGACTACCAACGGTCCCCTATCCCAACCAAGAACACCTTTTACTCCTAGTAACAAAAGTCGGGCCGGCCAACTATGCCGGTTGCATAATCAAAATAGAGAAATCACACACGCGCCTTAATCCCGCGCGCCCACACCCGCTTTACTCTGATCAAGCATCCTATCAGTGCAACCCAACAGCCTTAGCCTCGACTCGCGCGGTATATTTTAGGACTTTAGACTTTACTTCCTGTCACTTGCAAAAACTAGGGCGGATACCCTTGTCAGGGTATTCGCACCGACAACGCGCCACGTCAGGCGGGGTACCCAAAAAATGGGCAAAAATAAAAAAATGACGACAAAAAAAAATGAGAAGTAATAAACGAAAAAAAAAACGGGGGCAAAGGGGGGGCGAGAACAAATGAGAGAGAGAGAGGGCATCAGGGAGTGTCTGACGCCGCGTCAGACATTCCCTAACGCCCTCTCTCTCTCTCTCTCTCTCTCTCTCTCTCTCTCTCTCTCTCTCTCTCTCTCTCTCTCTCTCTCTCTCTCTCTCTCTCTCTCT